AAAAAAAAAAAAAAAAAAGAGAACCTGAGCTGGATGCATTGTCAGATTCCATCATACTTTCATTAACAGCTTCTGAACTGTCCAGTCCCGACTCCATTGAAGCCCAGGTGGTCCCTGAAGATATGCTTTCATGTCTATTTCTCGATCTAGCCTTGCACTTGTTCTAGAATACAGAGCGTAACCTGGAAGTAGTGGGATTGATCTAGATCGTTGTTGTTGTTAAGTGCTGTCAAGTCGGTTCTGACTCATAGCAATGCTGCATGGGGTTTCCAAGGAGTGGCTGGTGATCTCGCTTAGGAGTTGGTCAACTTCTGTGAATGCTGCATGAGTAATGTTTTAAGCTTTGTGGGTCAAGAGCTAAATCTAAGAGTATTATGTAGATACTTATGTAACAAAAGTGAAAATAAATTGACACAATTAAAGATACAATAATATGTGAGTAAAATCTTTATAATATAGATGAACTAATGCTAAGAATGGAGTCCTGGTGTGGTGCTGTAGGATAAGCGTTGGACCCCAAAGTCAATTTGAATCACAAGGTTGACTGTTCAAACTCATCAGCTGCTCCTTGGAAACCCTATATAGAGTCGCTATGAGTCAGAACCACTCTTAACAACAACAACAAGGATGGAATTCATTTTTTTGTGGGGAAATAATATTTTTCTTAACTTGGGGTCAAGGTTAATATCCCCATCAAAAAATGAATTGCTATTGTTCACCTTTAATGTTTATATATGATGATATGTTCTGTATTTCATCTTTAATAATGTCTGTTCACACAGATAAGCACTGTCAAATACCACCATCAATCCATGAGTCTCTGATTTTAGTTGAGTGTATTAATCACTTGGAAGGTATTTGTAGAATTCTATTAGAGTCTTGTCTTGATATTTGCCTTTTGGCATGCCATTACATTGCAGATTAATCATTTCAAATTGAAGGCTAGGTGGAAACTTCTAACCTTTTTTCCTACCCTTCCTCAAGGATAACTGCCTTTCATTGTTCTTTGTTTTGAAAACTGAGGCTTCAGCCATCTTGTCCGTTTTTTTTTCAGTTTGTGAAAATGCTGAATCCCATCACTATTATTCTATTATGGCTGGAAGCAGAACTCACTCTTGCCTATTTATTTTTAACAGTCTCACCTCTGGCTTTACTGCTTGTAATCTTTCCTTGTGCCCACCATCAGTTTTTCATTAAAGACATATTCTGACATCATTTCTTATGCTCACAGTTTGCTCTCTGT